TTTTTCTCCTTCTGGAAGATTTAATCCTTTTATTCCGACATCAAGTTTGAAACATTTGTAGAAAGTACTGGAAGGTTCTGTAGTTCCATTTAGAGCATCTAGACATTAATTCACTAATTCCCTAGAGAAGAATGTGGCTTTTTTTTCCTCCTCGGTAAAACTCCCCCCCCCTTTTTTTTTAATTTTATGACCTAAAAGAGATGAGTAATACAAATCAGACAGATCTTTTCGAGTAATTCCAGGAACATTCGAATGATAGTTAAATTCTATGTAACTTGGATATATGGAGGAGAAAGGAGAAGCAGGAGAGCTAGACTAGAACACACATCACTGAAGGCCACAGGAAACTGGAAATTTGTTTTATTTGCTTGATGTGTTCTACTTGCCATCTAAACTAATATCTCTAGTTGAATCATTTAAAGCAATTATTTTAATCATTTGAGCAATTTTTCAACATGCTATTTCTTTTTTGCTTTTTGAGAAGCCTCAATCACAGATACCCCAAATAACATTTATACAGGACTCCAGAAACTGTTCACTCAGTGACTCACAAAACCCCTATCCATCTTCTCTGCTGTTTTGTAGTCAAAGTACTTCCCTAAAAACTCAGACAAAATCACAATCAGGCGTGGCAGGATAGCGGAGATACATATCAAAAGTACTCCTTAAATATTTACGATCTTATAAATGTCAGCCACTCGCTTTACACTTCTACTTTTATAAGTAAAATTTTATACTTTCATATCTTTTTCTATTAAAAAAATATACCTTTTTTTTTATACTTTTATACTCCTCCCCTGTGCGTTTATCTATTCTCTAATGATTTGCCAAGCTATTAAAGAGAAATCACAATCTTTTTCATTCTTCATATAGCGTAGAGACCCCAACCAGACTGAAACTTCATTTAGCACCAGACATTTGCAATGTGACTGAAAGAAGCTAGACAGTAAATGACTGCAGCCAGCCCTGCAGGCCCCAAGACATTATCCTGGTTTGTTCTCAAGGGTTTCCTTGGGCTGAGTTCAAGAGGAACTAATGGCAGACTGTTTGTAACTGCTAACAAAGTGCAATAACAGCTACTACTGTGGAAGGACAGCAAAACACACCTTAATCCAGCACACAGACATACAATCTCATGAAAGAGTACTATGTATCAATAAGGCAAATAGTAACAAATTCTGAAAGGAACAGTCAAATGACCAAAAAACATACAAACTGCCTAGAAGCTGTTAAAAAATGCTGTATTAGAAGCCCCTAAAACCTTGAATGACTCTATAAAGCTAAAAAGGCTACACAGGGAAACAACTCAGAATTTAGAAAAACTTGCTCAAGGGAGGAGAACAGGAAAGGACATTAAAAAAAAGTTAAACGTAACCAGTGAAGTAAGAGGGAATTTGGCAGTGTAAGAAGTTGTAGAGGTATCCAATATCGAAAAAGGATTTAGAGAAATTAATGGGCAGCAGGTTCATAAACATATGTGGGGAATAGACAGGGATACATCTTCTAACATCCCAAACCCAGTGATCCCAGATGCTGTGGGAAGTGAGGCAGGCTCACCCGCTCTGCCCTAATAGCATTTGCTATTGCCATTGTCACAGACAAGATCCTGAGACTGATGGGCCATTGAGCATTTCTTATGTTCTTGTAATTCAAAAGATGGGAGGAGTCACTCTACTGTGCCACACCCAGAGCGCCATCCACCACATCATGGTGACTCCTGGGGTTTGCCACTGGCCTGAATTTATTTCTGCTGAACATTCACTGATCTCAGGTACGCCAGAATTTCACCCGACTTCCTTTTTTTTTTTTTCTCTCCTAAGAGGAAGAGAGAAACAGATGTAAAATGTGTCTGAATTGGTACATCTGTGGGTAACCAAGTCAACATATCTATGTTTTGAATCGAAGGAATGTTGAGCATTCTTAATTGCCCATTCATTTTAGGTAGTGATGGAGATGTTTAGTCACTCTGCAGACTGACACACAATTGGAAACACAAAATCGTAGGTATGCAAATTAGATGTTTCTCTGAAAGGCCCCATGATAGGCCTAAAACGCTTGCAACATCGATACATCCAGTTTACCCAGTCAGCTCTTGTAACTTCAGACAGGAGGGTATCAGGAAATAAAATATTGCTGAATCACTCCATTTTTAAATTGAGAAACAAATACTTTTGGTGCCAAGAAGATTCCTTTCAAAGCAGATTTTCTAAAATGTGTTATAAATACACTAAATATTACAGAAGTCTACACTCCTACCTAAGAAAATCATTAGCAGTTGGACGGTTTGAATGTTGACTAATGAAGTATTTATTTGTGTGCAATGAGAGACAGGATTTTTTATGGCTTATGATTTATTAGAATTAACAGGCTCAGTTGCAAAGCATCCAATGATCACAGGTGGGAAAAGAAAGCAAGATGGTTGTGACTGTAGATGAAGACAACCGAGAACGTGGCTTAAATAACGTGAGCAATTGAAACAGACAATATTTCCTTTGCGAGTTAAAAAGTAATGTGCACTTTTTTCCGATTGACTGTATATATACACTCTCATAGACCAACGACATGAGAGATCACTCTTTAAATAAGTGCTTTAAGGAGAACAAATTTTCATACACGTTAAACTCAGAATAGTTTAGAAGAGCAAAATGTTAGGACTGAACAGATAAAGACAAGAAACCTGATTGGTAAGAGAACAAGAGATCATCTGAATAAAATATCTTCAAATGCAAAGTGCTTTGCAAAATTAAGCAATGGAAAGGGAAACTATATCCTGATTTAGACAAATTGTTCGGGGAGAAAAAGATAAGGAGGAAAAAAATACAATGCTGCTCAAATGTTTTAAGTTTCTATTCCAAGACCAAATTTCAAAATAAATTCTGTTTAATACTAACAAATATTAAATAAAACATGTTCTATGTTTTTATTTCAGATTTTGGGATCAATTTGGGATTAATATTCGTGACATATAAAGTGTAAGAAAATTTAATAAAATTTAAAAAAAACACATTCTTAAAGAATCTCAATGCTGAGACTGTATTTCCTTTCTCCTCCTCTTGCTGTTTATTTTTAAAGCAGGTAGTAACACTGTGGATAAAGTTTCACTGTGTATCAATAATCTATAGAACTGGATTAAGTATTCCTTTCTGAAAAAGCACAACTCATAAGTACAGGAAAAGTTACAGGGGTGAACTATGGACCTATGCACCGGTAGCAAGGAGTCAACAGTTGCATTCAATAAAATACTATTTCTAAATGCACACCGTCATTTTTGTTTGCTTTTGTGTTTAGAGTATTTCACTGGAGCTTTATCTTTCTACTACCACAACACGTGTTTTAAATACGAAGTGAAACCATAATCTCTTTCAGTGTAAACTCTGAATGGAGATAACAATCAAATGTTCCTCTTACCTCGTTTTGGAGGTCACGGATCATTTTGCTCTTCCTTTCCATTTCGGTCTTCAGAAATTTAATCTACAAGTTTAAAGAGACTTGCATGTGAGTTGTTGAAATGTATCTAAACAACAGTTTAAATATTATTTTTTTACTAAAAAAACCAAACCAAAACCACCTTACATTTCGTTTCTACCAATAAGTTATCTTAGAAAACCGCTGCTTATATACCAAATTGATATAGGCCACTGTTAAGTATTTGCTAAATCTACAAACATTTAGCATGATATTTACTAGAAAACTTACAATCAAGAGAAGCAAATCGCTGTACGTAAATAGGCTTACGTTACTTATGCACCAGTAGGTAGTGTTTATTTTTTGCAATGAAGTCCCACGTGACCTTCAGAGAACTATGGATTTTTACAACAGTATTAACAGATTTTATGATCTAAAAAATTTTTAACCCTCTAAGAACACAACATCTATCATAACAGGTTTCTAACGCAGTTATTTGATTTGAATGTTACAGTACTGGTCCTAATGAGATAAACCCCTTGATTCTGATCAGACTCACCTGTGGAATAAAGTGTATTATATGTGAAAGCATTCAAATCTGGTCTTTAGTTCCTATTTAATTCAATGATTTGCCTTGGAAAGTAAATATTCCAATCTTAGTTTTAAGACTGAATTTAATCAAACACAGTTTAAAAGATTGTTTTTACAAATCGGTCTGTTTCTTTCAGGATTGAGCTTTCCTCCTGGCTTATGGAGCGTTAATGGGAGAAAGGAGGATGTAATTATAACAACTAGGATTAAAAGAACACATTCCTTTCACTTTGAAGGAGGATGCTCTTGGATACCTTAATTAGCAAAATACTCATCCCTATATGCCCAATGCCCCACGCCACATTCTGTCCCCCACCGATACAAAAGCCTACCTATATTCATAGGAAACTACAGTTCATCTGACATTGCAGCAGACTTCTTAAGAAAAACAAAACCTCTGTAAGAAAACAGATTTAGATTACAGAGACATTGACCTAGAGATTAGTGGTTTGGATGTCATGCAGATAAAAAATGACAGTGAATCTGCATGATATGACAGCTGTTCTTAGAATCATGTCCACACTCAAGTAGAGAGATGTCAGTAATTTAAAAACCATCACTGGACTTGCCATCACTCTCATCTGTAACAGGAGAGAAGTCAGAGAACACTATCATCACTTAAGAGAGAAAATGTAAGTAGGGGGTCCGTGAGACTGGTGCCAACTGACATGCATAAATGTTACTACTTTTGCAAACTCTTTGAAAATTTTGTCTATTTCATTGTGGAAATACTGACTACACATCCAGCTACCACTGAGGGTGATGTTTTAACAGAAGATGAATATATTCAGCACCTGCCTAGCAATCACACCCACAAATAGTGAAATGTAGTCCATGTTTATTGTATAACAAATATGAAGATTTTGTACAACAATAAATAAAGGTCACAATCAAAATATGAGATCAGGATTAAGTGGGGCAAAAAATAAAATAACTACGTACGTGGTGGGTTTTGGTTTTTCAGCTGTTCAAAAAATTTGCCAGCTACCATTAAAACCGATAAAAAGAATATACTGACCTCTGTTAAAGAGTGTTCCCTTTCTTAGTCCTAACTCTCAAGAGAATATCAATATTGCTTCTAAGCACTTCACTTCTAAATCTGAATATATATGAAATAATTAAAGAGATATGATACCAAAATTATTGTCTCTGTGCTCTCTATACATAACCTGTAAGTATCAGCTTGGATCTTCCAGTGGAGAGATATTTAAGACACCACAGTACTGTTAATTTAACAGGCAATCTATGTTAGTTAAACCAGTAATTTTTGTTAATTACTATTCACATGCACATGCATCTGATATCACTGATATGGACAACTTAAATAGCACAAACTTACTGTTCTATCTTATCTGAATAATTTAAAAAAATTAAGTCCCTTTCTTTTTAAAAAATAATACCAGTATTAGTTAAAAAGTCATTAATTTTTGCTTTCGTATTATAACAGCATTTTTAAAGCACTTCTACTAAATCTTTAACAGCTGAAGAGCCACTTAGTCATAAAGTATAGCTATAGAGAGCTACGTAGGAAGGATTTATATGGCTTGGCTACTGGAGCTAATATAGAGATAACCATTTAAGTGCGTTCATGCTTTAAGGCAGATCGGTCTGTATCAGCCCATTTGCATGATGCTTCTAGTCAGTCCCGAGGATAAGGCATAATACCATTTTCCAGAAGAGATGTAAAAATTCTACTTTCAGTCACCAAATCCTGATAGCATAATAAACAAGAACAGGCATTTATACCCAGCTCTAAATTAAAAGGCACAGAAACTGAAAAAACTAAGCAACTTTCCACATCTCTTCCTCCTTTCTGCCCACTCTTTGTTCTTGTTTGACAGTCACCTCTTTCCAAATGTTGGCTGCCTTTAATTACTACATAGCTGTAATTATGAAAATACATAATGAAAATATATTGTTCTAAGGCTGAATTTCTCAATATTAAGCAAGGACACTGCTTCTGTCTCCTGGAGACAGACATCCAAGGTACTCAGAGCTTTGTGTGTTTCAGAGCTCATTACATTTATTAAAAGCAACAGCTTCCACCCAGTGGCCTTTACTCACAGCAGTTTGTGACCTTGAAATGTTCAAATTAAATTTTCCCCTATCGAAATACAGAATGCTTTAGCAGATGGCAGTGATCTAATTCTAAGAGTCAGGCAACAGTTAGTTATTCACTACAGATGAAGGATAGAAGAATACCAATATAGCATCATTACCACACAGTCAAAGCTCAGCTGTATGCTTATTTGCTTACCTCCAGACTTCTTGTATCTTGCTCAGGACTAAGACATGAGCAATTAAGATGGGATTGGAATACATTCATTAACACCTAACTATTTTGGCAATATCTGGAAAACCTAACGTACTCAATACTCATTTTCATGGTCAAATGTTCAAGTTATAGTGTAGGAGTGGACTCCAAAATACAGAGAGAACTTGTTAGGCTGTTACCTAAAACAGAAGAAATATTCTTCTGAAATATTGCTGGGTCCTGCACTTGGGTCACAACAACCCCATGCAACACTACAGGCTGGGGAAAGAGCGGCTGGAAAGCTGCCCAGCGGAAAAGGACCTGGGGGTGCTGGTTGACAGCCGGCTGAACATGAGCCAGCAGTGTGCCCAGGCGGCCAAGAAGGCCAAGAGCATCCTGGCCTGTATCAGAAATAGTGTGGCCAGCAGGAGTAGGGAAGTGATCGTCCCCCTGTACTCGGCACTGGTGAGGCCGCACCTCCAATACTGTGTTCAGTTTTGGGCCCCTCACTACAAGAAGGACATCGAGGTGCTGGAGTGTGTCCAGAGAAGGGCAACGAGGCTGGTGAAGGGTCTGGAGAACAAGTCTTATGAGGAGCAGCTGAGGGAACTGGGGTTGTTTAGCCTGGAGAAAAGGAGGCTGAGGGGAGACCTCATCGCTCTCTACAACTACCTGAAAGGAGGTTGTAGCGAGGTGGGTGTTTGTCTCTTCTCCCAAGTAACTGGCGATAGGACGAGAGGAAATGGCCTCAAGTTGCACCAGGGGAAGTTTAGATTGGACGTGAGGAAAAATGTCTTTACTGAAAGAGTGGTTAAACATTGGAACAGGCTGCCCAGGGAAGTGGTTGAGTCACCATCCCTGGAGGTGTTTAAAAGACGTGTAGATGAGGTGCTTAGGGACATGGTTTAGTGGGCATGGTGGTGTTGGGTTGACGGTTGGACTCGATGATCTTCGAGGTCTTTTCCAACCTTAATGATTCTATGATTTTTACCTTTGGAAAAAAGTGCTCTACAAAATGTTAAATACTTGTAAAAGCAAACCTAAATATATTTTTATCTACTACGATTTCTTAGATGAATGTAACTTTCAAGCTGTAAGTTATATTTTAATTAATAAAACAGATTTTTGTCAAGGAGACTTTTAGGACTGTAGGACCTGTCATAAGGACTGTTACTGAACAAAATAAATATTTCTGAAGTGAAATGAACATCCGATCTTTTTATTAAAAATATTGCAGGCATGAGTTTGCAACGGTTCTTAAGATTCTTGTTTGGTGGTGGATATCTCTGAATTAAATTCCCCATATTCTGTTAGTCTTTTATTACTAAGAAAAACACTACTTATTTCAAAATAACCATATTGTTTATTGTTTATTTTTACAAGTCAGGCATAATGGGTTACTTATTTCTCATTTTTCATAGCGAACACTGAGCAACTGGGAAAAAGGAGTTTACACGGACATATTTTCTCCTTTATTTTGACAGACTGTACTATAATTGTATTGTCAAACAATTCCATCACCATGTATTTTTAAAAATTGTTAGCATGATATAAAATACCAACAGGAATAAAATGTAAAATGCAGACTAAGCTTAGTCTACTTAGCCAAACTATTTTTGAGTATTTCCCTGTTTCCTTCTTTACGTTCTCCCTCATCCAGAGATATCCAGCTCTTTTTATATACTTTAATTGCAGTTAATGGGAAACAACTTTGCAAACCTCAAGGTCACTTTCTAAAAAAATACCTATTCCTTAAGATACAAGCAGTTAGCATGAAGCACAGTCGAGTGAAGAGCCCTTCTCCAAAAAGCTCTAAGAGCCTGTTAACCTAATATAGAGATACAGAAGCACTACTTACCCTATTTATTCAAATTCACTGGAAGAAAAACACTTTCAAGTTACATGTGTCATTTGCACCCTGCCTCTTTGTTAACAGAAGTGAAAACTAGTCCATGGTTCCTAATCCTGTTTCTGGAAGAAGTGGTTCCACTTCACATTTAGAGATACAGCTTGACATTATTAATAAATTTTTTCACTGCTTAACAACCTAATATAAATTGCTTAGGTATTTGATATCAAATGCAGACCAAAAAGCTCTGTCAACCTTTATCAATTGTTAAAGAGGACAACAGGTTATTTGGAATTGTGTCTTACACATTTTATATACATGTTGTATACCTAAACCCAGTACGGTGGTTCTGACTAACAAGCTTTCTCTATTTAAGAAATGCTTTTTGATATACAAATGATCCATAGTTCTAGTGTAAGATGGTCTGTAGAGAAGCTCCCTCACAACCCAAGGCTTTCTGGAAGACTGTATTTGACCTTGAACTTTGCAACATAGGACTACTCTAAATTTTAAATGATCCTTATCATAACTAGTATTCCTCTGCACATTTTTACTATCTCAGATAGAGCAGCTGAAACAAGAGGCATAAATTTATCTGAGGTCTGCCATATTTTTTCTAGAAAAGACCTGTCCCAAGACAGACTGCTGCTGTTCTTCATATGTTAGTGCTACAGATGCAGAAGACAAAAGACCCAGAAAGGGAGTGCTCACTCCTGCTAAGGGCCTCCAGGTCAGTCTTCCGTGTGATTAGTACTGTGAAGGACAGGAATGTCTTTACACCTCTTTTTGTTTCCTCAAGCCTAAATTGCTGCTTCTACCCTCAGAATGTTGTTACTACCTAGCAGTAGCTCCACCGGCTGCTCTCTGAGAGACTGTACCCACCAACACTTCAGAAGATCCTCAGAAGGGCAACTTTTAGCTGCCTACCATTCCTGGCTTCTCTAGTCTTAAAGGGCAAGAAAAATGTATAAGCATGCACAATAATGTTGATAACATTGTTTCTAATGAATCAATCATTTGTGCAACTGATTGTGAAGATTCTTGCCATGCATTGCACAAGACTTGGATGCAAAGTGTAATGTATTGCTGCGGCAGCTCCTTTGTTCCTTTGGTTTGGTCAGAGTCCTTGAATACTTTCCAGGTTATTTTTCATGCAATTTGACTTAATTCTTGTAAATTCTTACTTACACTTTTGCATTTACCTAATAAAGAACACCTTCAGGCAGGTGTTCCCTGTTGAATACATGCAGCCAATTAACATACAGTAAGCATTGTACTATGCCTCCTTGGCAAGTGCAGAAAAGAAATACGTATTTCCAACCCCCATCCAGTGTTTTATTCATTTGACTTTGAGAAATGTAATTCTATTCTTATTTACTCTGATGAAAATCAGATTTACTTCACCAAATCCTGTAGAATAAAATGTGCTTAAATTGGATTAGAAACAAGACTCGCAATTCATTAAATCAGAATTAAATTCAAGCTCCCATCCTCTAGCTAGGCTTGCCTCAAAGTACCTAGACCTTCTTTCATAGCAGTCATATTGCTTTCAGAAAAACGTGAAACACATGGAGAAACCAGGTGTAAAGTAACCCTGTGTGACAGTAATAATATTTATTTCCATTTCTATTGCAGCTTTCATCTGAGGATCCTGAAGCACTTTCTGAGTATTCATTCAGTTTCACTGTATTGGTGAGCTTCATTATGTACATCGTACCCCAAGGCATAAAGAAATAAATGTCACAAACCAAGGACACAGTTCTGCTTTCCTTAAAATCAGTGGCAAATTTAATATTCTATTATTGGCAAGTTTTAGAATACAGCTCAAGAATTCAGTTTCTCTGTTACAAACTCAGAGGGGTTTTTCCTGGTTTCTGCACTAGGTAACGTTTTTGCTTACAGTTAACAGTAGGTTTTGTTCAACTTGTGTGGAAGAAATCTTGTGCTCTTCCCCAGTGCTAGGGTGTGGACTGAATTTACACAAGGCACTGCTGCTCAAGTTAAAAAAGCGCTATATCACAAAGAACAACAGAGCCAATAATCCATTCACTACATCTGAGATTTATTTAACCCACAGTTGAATGAGTCTTGCATATCAGAATCCAATACAGAGATTAAATAACGAAACATGTTTTCCACCTTTAATTTGTTGGACTAGAATTCGTTGTGCCAATAAAGCTAGGGGGAATGTGTCCGTGCACCTGGAAAAAGACAACTTTCGACCAGCATGTTCTGAGACTGAGCAGAGGCAACTAGGTTCTCATTTCTTCTTATTTGAAGACTATATATCTTGCCTCAGTACAAAACCATCTTAAAACAAGTGCAAATTTTTTTTTTTTCTGGATATATGCTGCCCTGACTATTGAGAAAGACCCCCAAAATATGTTATTCCTTTCACGTTCAATACAGCATTCAGTTTACTTCTTTTCTCCCCCTCAAGAACAAAAGAAGGTTTTTGTTCTCTAGACAAAATTACAAGTACCAAAATTCCACGAAGTATGTGTTGTGGGGGGACACAAGAATAGGTAAAAACAGTGTCTTTGCCCTTCAGACTTCCGAGCAGCAAAGGGAAAAAAATGTTTTCAAAAATCGCGTTAATTGAAAGAAACCTGCAAAAGGAATGCTTTAGTTTAAAAGCTATATTGTTTCTAATTAGAAGGTGGCATGTAAAACACACTCTCACAGCTTGTCCACCAAGGGCAACTCCTATCTTGTTCACCAGGGGCATAAAGTCACATATGAATCACATTAATACAAAAGAAGGCATATGTAAATATTTGCTAAATTTAGTAATTATTTTTAAACATCTATCTTGGAGGAACCCTTGTTTTATGAGCCTGGAAGACAGTAAAATATTACTAAATAAACCAGTAGTTATCCAATAAAACTAAAAACAGATATATAAATCCTTCTAGCAGCTTGTTTTCAAGTCCAGAGTTAGAGAACACTTGAGATTTGAAGGAACCTCTGGAGATTATCTAGTCAACTTAGGCTCACTGGTGTTTGTGTTATAGGAATACTACTAACCAATATAGGAAAAAATTCCTTTTTACATCTTAGAATTAAACAGAAAACATGAATCTACTTTTTTTTTTTTCCCTGCAATAGCAAAATGTGGCTATTTATGCCACACAGCATTATAGTGCTACATAAAAATCCAACCAGTTGTACAATTTATCCAGAAACAGAATTTCATTAAAGCATGAAACCTTAACAGGACTTAATACCTTTCTATAGTGATAATTAGATCTATTATGGTCAAAATCAGACACTCTACTATGAATCCATGATTCTATTTTGTTGCTGAAAATTGGTAGTGAGTCCAAAAAAGTCAATGGATGTATGACAGTGTACATTGACATAGATGAGACATGACGGTCCATAAAGATTATTTCATCAGGGAAAGGACTTAGGTCCAAGTCTCCAGGCCCAAATCTCCAAAAGTGTATACACACACCTAAATCCCACAAAAATTACTGAAGACAGGGGTCTTAGTGCTTTTGAACAAACAAACCTTTTTCAGCTCCTTTCTTGGAGCTGAAAGCTTGGATTTCAAGTACGTGTTAGTACTCTACAAGTTTTTTACATGCAAAGTTATTTGAAATACTGACAAATTCTAAAGGCAGAAGGATTAAAAAAACAACAGAAGAAACAAACAAAAGTAAAAGAGGGACAGGGAATCACTCACGGTAGCCTGCTGCTTTTCTGCTTTCTCAGCTGCCTCATTAAGCTGCTTTTGAAAGGCCTCCTGGAGAGATTTCATTTCTTCCCTAGTTTGTTGAAAACACAGAACACAAACTTCATTACAAGTGTCCATTAAGAAATAATTCTTCAGATTCAAGAAAAGGCACTTTTAATTATTCAGAGTAACAGATGGGTGTATTGTGTCTATGTGTCTTGCTAATAAAATCATAATGACCCCATGAACTATAGTGCCAACACAAGACAAAAATTATTTATGACGGAAATTGGCCACCTTTTACATCTACTGAGTAGCCTGCTGTCCAAAACATCTGCCAGTGTATAATTTCTAGGAAAAAGGATTGTCACCAAAAAAGCAAGGAAAGCAGGCTACTGAAAACACACCAAAATGGAACCACACTATTATCAGTAAGAACTAGTTTATACCTATTTTAAAATAAAAAACAAATAAATAAATAATGCTCTGATAAAATTCAACCTTCACCTGGCTCTTTCTAGAAACCAGCAACACAAAATTCAGTAGAAGATTCTGGCATGCAAGAAAAAAAACAAGATGACAATTACTTGGATTGGGTTTTATTTGAATCAAAAAAACCTTTGCATTACTGATGCAGTAAGAAATTCTCGGAATTGCAGCAGGCTGAGATCCTCTGCTGGCCATGTCTTTCTACCCACAGCATATGACACGCTTTGGAGCTGTGGCAAAGTAGAAGAGTGACATATTTCAACTGCAGAGCTTTTTCAGGGCTGTTGCTTGCATGGATAAACCTCCACAGAACAGTAACACAAAACTGGGTTTATACACAGATTAATAATTTAGCCCAGTGAAAACTAAACTGGAATGGCAACCATCTAGTTCATATAAGAACAGAACTTTTGAGCTGCTGGATTCTTGTTAGCCAATAACTCTACTACTTTTAGCAGTTTTGGGAACACTAGTACAGAACAGATTTAATTGAAATAGTGATTGGGCAGCATGAAACGAATGCGCCATCAGCACAATACAACTCCCTTATCATATAGACAGATGTGATCATTTCACAGTGCTGATGGTGCACAGAAAGAATAAAACTTGAGGCATCATAGTAAGTGACCAAGTTTTACTTGCAACTTCGGAAGTACTGAAGAACTCACACAAAAGGGATTAAAAAAAATAATAAATCTAAGTTGAAGTCAGCAGACCTACATCTACTTACACAAGCTGAGATTCTAACACTCTAAACTTCACTGTATCATCCATCATTGCAGAGAATAATCAAAGTAGTGCTCACAGACTGAACGCAGCTCACGTTTGTCCAAAGAAAGTTGATCATAAGATTAATATTGGGATATATTTTGAATTTTGGTTCAAATACAACAGATTTAAGCATAACAGTATGTTCGCTGTTCTTCCCTTACTCTAGATGAAGTACAGCCTGAGGCTCTTGGCAAATAAACTGTGACCCTTCCTTAGCGAAATTCTATGAGGGAGATTCCCTGGCACATTTTTAACACCTCCTTCTTACACTGAACTTCTACACCTCTCTGGAAGTGAAATCCAGTAAGCCTGTAAACAGCTGTCAAGTACCTGCAGTAGATCCAAGGCATTTTCTTGGAGTATATTGTAAAAGCCTTTTATTTTCTGAAGGAGGGTGAGGGCCGCTCAGCAGCATATCGCACCGATCCAGGGTCTATCTCTGGGAACTGCTGTTGACCAGTATACTCAATAGCTGAATCCCTCAGAAGCAAAAGTCAACATGTACTTTTGGGTGGACCTTGTGAGACTTTAAGGGGTGATTTAAGGAGGAGATTAGGAAGAATACTTGTAGTATGTTGTAAAATTTTCCCTTAGCAGACTCAATTTTCCCATTTGCAACTAAGATCTATTTACTGAATAGTCCATTAATACTTTTAATCAATTAATCTTGCTATTTCATAAAAGCTGCACAACAATCAAACCACTACAAAAACACATTAATGTATGAAGGATTGAGTCCGTGACAAGCGCAGCTATGATGCTGAGACGTATACCCTCAGTTATACCCAAGCCATAGAGGTGTTTAAATAAGACATTAGCTGAAGTCTTACTTTCATCATTTAATAGGTTTGTCTGGAATACCTGAAAGACTCTTATGTATTTGATCCTTCTCTATCAAAGTAAAAATGAGAACTTCTAGGCATATTGGATTATGGATCTTATTTGTTGTGTACTGAAGAACTGAAGGTCATTTTATCACTAGCCTTCTCTATAGCAATGCAATTTCATATGTACTTCTATTAAATACAATATCAGCAATAAGACGGCCATGAGATGGAAGTATTGCATTTCTAACAATGAAAGAAGTATGAACCTTATTAACTTTTTAAATAATAATTTTTTCTAAGGAAAAAGATGGAAGTACAGGTGTATTCATTATATAACATTGTCTCAGCAAAAGTGATCCCTATGTTAGTTACATTTTCTTGTTACTAAAACTGTATTGATGTTGTTATTTGCTGGTCTGAGTTCCAATAATTAAGAGAAGTAGAATGAGTTACTTGTGACGAAGGACTAGGGGACTTGAGACTAAGGACTAGGCTGGGAACTTGCATTCCCAGCCATGGAAACTCATTATTTAAGTGCTCAATGAATAATTTGAAACGAATACTCTCTCCTCCCAGCTGCCTTCCTCACAGATACCCAGTACAAGTATTCCTACATTTGCACAATGACTAGTGATTTTGAGTGTCTACATGCATGAATATTTAATTAAGAGGCCTGAATAAATATATATCACCATGTCTATATTCAGAGATTGAGATACTTCAATAATTTCATTAACTGGGCATTACCAACCACTTGTAATTTTCTAAAACTTTTGATTTTTTTCTTTTTAAGAGAAAATTTCATGACTAAACCTTCCTGAGAAATTAAAAAACCCTTTCTTTAGCAGATATCTCACTATAGCATTTTAGTATCTTTTCCTAACATATGTCCAATATCACCTAATATGTCATTTGTTTCGAAAACTTCCCAAAGCAGCATTCCCTGCCCTTATCTTACTGTTATAATCAGCAGGCTCTGGAATACAGTAGTGTTTATAGATTAAAGTAAAAGGAAAGATGGAATCTCCTAGTCTGATAGGTTTCAGTCTGGAAACAGAAAGAGAAGGGAGGAGGTGTGTGTGTGGCGGGGTCTTACCTTTGCTTTTGGCCCAGTTCCAGAAGTTTCTGCACATCACTTTTGGCTGATGCTTCATCATTTTTCAAAGACTGATAGCAAAGGAAGAAGTCTATTACCAAAGAGAACTTTAATATTATTCATCTGAGAAATGATTAATTTGGTCCTCTTTCATAAAATGCTCCCAGTGAATTACAGATATTACCACTTGTAAGAACAGAAGAATAGCCTGACTTTTCTTTTACCGTAACTCAGCACAGCTAACTGTACATAGCTGTTTTTCAAATATTAAATGACAGCTGATCAAATAAGCAGATTTAAAAACAAACAAATGACTAAAAGCATTAGGATTGTATGACAAAGGTAAGTGTGTATATACAGAAGATAATACTACAGCTCTTTGCCTATATCTGGATCTCTGCAGCGTTGAGTCTAAAATCTCTCATGGTATAATTTTGCCGAGTACTACCTCCAACAGTGCTGCCTAAGAAATCCCATTCCCAAATAACTTTGTTACAAGGAGAAGCCTATTACTTTATTATTGTAGGTGTGGTGTTCTTTTTAAAGAGTGCTAAAGAACTTTAAAAAAAAAAAAAAGGAGAAAAGGTTCAATAGGCCACAGTTCACATTAATTAGAACCAGAGAAGTCTGAAATATAAGACAATATAATAATATAATATAGCACAGTATCGAGACACAATACCAGCTTTCTCCTGTGAGATACAGGGATTCTACTCCTTATATTTTTCCCATCTAGCTTACATCAACATGACAATAAAAATGCCATGTCAGGAAAATACTCTCCTTGAAAACGGCATGACAAACAGAGACAAATCTCAACTGATAACGAGTCTTAATGTTTTCACCAGACCAACAGACTATATCTGGAAAAGACAGGCACGCTCTTAAGCGAACATCTGGTGATTTCTGGACCTCAAATCCAGAGCAGGATTTTTAATCTACTTTTCGCTCTGAGGAGCTGATTTGACTCCAGAGTTATTCTGACTATTGCCCTTTCAGTCTACACATGATACCCCAAAACCTCCCAAGTTAAATACAGAGGTGCCTCAGCTCTAGCCGCAGGCTCATCTAGCACAATTTGTCAGCTAAGCTTGTAAAGTAACGCCTTGCGGTAAACCCAGTCAGTCCGTGTAGATAGCGTGTCAGGTAGGTAAAGTAAGCAGCTAAACTAGGCTGAGTATATATAACGCATCAGCAAAGATGCAACCTGCAACAGCAAAGGAAATCTTTTTATAGTAGCTACCAGGACAAACATGTGGTAACTCCACTAAAACAGCTTATTCTTTCTCCTTCCCCTCCTTTTTTGTTCTACTGTGCTCTATTTTCATATTTTCTTTATTTTTTGAGTAAGTGGACAAAGGGCCCAACTCATTAGGACCACGTTTTCCATAAAAACATCGGGTTTATGTTAAGTACAAGATCAACAAAATAATAATTATTCACATATTAAAAAAAAAAAAAACCACACACATTTTTTGTAATAAATAGATACCAATATGAAAAAGTCAAGGTAAGTAATCCTACAGAAACCAAGACAGAACCTAACCTGGAGGTTTACTTTAATTCCCTCAAGTTCTTTAGAAGTCTTCGACAGTTGACGAAGGATATTGCTCCTTTCCTTAAAGACTTCTTTCAGCTGTCTTTCCAGTTCTTCATAGCCCTGTCTAACACAGAAAATAAAAGCATGAGGTCTTCTCAAAATATTACTCAATGCATTTGAAAACAGTCTTAGTTGATCCAAATTGAATTAATTCTAACACTCTTTATAGATACCAAATTGGAGTGTGTGCCCCTGTTCACCTACATAATAACTGGATTTCATCCAATGTAGATAAATAGATGTTTTATATGTCAAAATGATGTGCTGCATCTGAGTATACAAATTATGAGACTGAAACACTGCAAATAGCATATTGTCTCTGGTGAACAGACAACAGAAAGGATGTCTTTAACAGGAGTGATGGTACATAGCGTGAGATTTTTCTTGTTTTAAAAGATATTCCATGCAAAAAACCAAGCAAAACTTTGAAAGTATGAAGTTTTGTAACACCCAGTAATTTGAGGGAAGGATGATTCAGATCTATTTTAACTTTGTAAAGTTTATTTCATTCCACAATTTCTCCTCACTTAAACCTCCTTACAGTATAAACTAGAACTGACCAATATGCTAAGAGGAATCAAACCTAATTATTAATTAATGGGTAAGTCAAAATATTCTATTCTTTTTGTCCTGGTTTTGGCTGGGAGAGAGTTAATTTTCTTCCTAGTAGCTGGTACAGTGCTGTGTTTTGGATTTAGCATGAGAATAATGTGGTAACACACTGATGTTTTAGTTGTTGCTAAGCAGTGTTTATATTAAGTCAAGGACTTTTCAGCTTCCCATACTCTGCCAGCGAAGAGGTGCACAAGAAGCTGGGAGGGGGCACAGCCAGGACAGCTGACCCAAACTGGCCAAAGGGATATTCCATACCATGGGACGTCATGCTCAGTATATAAGCTGAGGGGAGGGGGCTGGGGGACAGTGACCTCTGCTCAGGGACTGGCTGGGTGTCGGTCGACAGGTGGTGAGCAGTTGCATCACTTGTTCCTCCTGGGTTTTGTTCCCCTCTCTCTGCTGTTATTTTCCTTTTCATTACAATTTATTATTATTATTATTTTATTTCAATTATTAAACTGTTCTTATCTCAACCCACAAGTTTTCTTTCTTTTGCTCTTCTGATTCTCTCCCCCATCCCACCGGGGGGGCAGGGAGGGCGAGCGAGCGGCTGTATGGTGCTTGGTTGCTGACTGGGGTTAAACCACGACACTTCAAAATGGTAATTTTTACTTGGAATGTAACTATACATTTTAGAGTTATTATAAAATCCACAGTGAAATAAATCCAACACATACTGTTTTAGCTTGAATGAAATACAGATCCAACTCTCATACTCCATTTCAGGAAAAAAGCAAACATTACAGCTAATTCTAAACCAACATACTTTTTCATTTAAAATTGTCATTTTGAGGAAGACTGATCAGTGATTTGAAACATCCATTCCTCCTACAACTTCCTCCCCCCGCCCCCTTGCTGTACCTCTGGTTCTAAGACGGGGTAAAAAAGAACCTCAACTGCAACACGTCAGTACTATTTTATTATCAGATCCAACACCTTGAAGTTAAACAGGAATCTTAACACTCTTTTAATGGATTTTGAATACACACTTTAGCAAAGAAACTCAGTAAAGCAAATTAAATACACTATCTAATATCAGTCATATTTTAGCAATAGACAGCTCACAAAATATTATAGATTTATGAAAAAAGAAAATTATTCTATATTAAATGATACTTTGGATACCTAGAAGAGATGAAAGTGAATAAAGCATCTCTTTCATCAACACAAGACTTTAGGCAAAGAATCTTAACATTATATTGAAGTTTCAGCAATAATTATATTCAGCTTTGACAGAATGTTGCAAATTAAAAAGTGTAGAGTTCTTTGAGTTTGCATCTCTAATGAAACACAAAACATCTCCAACTTCTGCTTGCTGCTGCAAAATAAGAACTGAGATGTTTTGGTCTGCAACATAGCACCCAACTCTTTCAGTAAAGATCTTCAGGACAATTGCTAGGTCAACTGTTTAATTTTACAGTAGAAGTTCTCTTTTAGACGAAAGTTGAAACAGAAAAGAGGAGAGAGATTTCACCCCCACCCCCCCCCAAAAAAAATTGTTAAGTTTTCCCAGGATGGTAAAATAAAAACTGCAATATTTCTAACACATTTTGTAACTGGTAGATAAAAAGCTCAGCTGTCAGTAAAATATTTTATTCTCTTCATAAGTTTTGCTTTTTCTTTCAATATGTGGATGAACTATATTTCAAAACACAGTGGTTTCAGACCATTTTGATTACGTTCATCCACCAGAGGAAAGGAAAAACTGCAGATCTAGTGGGGGAACAAGAAGTACCTCTGAGAACGACTGTAAGAAGACATGGGGTGAGTCAGTGTAAGGAGATAATGCCAGGACTCAGCTATGCTACCTCCTAGTAACTAAACAGCAGTCATAAGTAATCTGGTTATCCTTGATATGGATAACTAATGTTATCAAAAATAAATTATCTCAAATAGAGGTCACACAGTTGAACACATCATGGATTTACAGGAAAAAAAATCTATATAACAGGACTATGAACCTTCTGGAATTTAGCATTATTTACATGGAGGATTTGGTTCAAATTTTTCTATCAAATTGAATGAAAGAACCTAGATGAATTAAATCTAGCTGGTGCTAGAATACCTGATAAATATTAGCATTCTGGTCATTACATGCAATGTAAATAAAATCTCCTGCATTAAGTTTTATACAGAAACACCTACAGGTTTTTTTTGTTACCACTCCAGCTATGCATGATTGTAAACAAGGTATACATCACTGTAAAAGAGCTGGTTCACCTCAGCAGTAACAACATTACGTGTAATCAGCCTGACAAGCCTCAGAGAATACTCCCATTTTAATTTGCTGATGAACAGAGGTCAAGGAGGGATTGCCTCCTGCTAAAGCAATCGGGTAGTTTCAATAAGGTCATTGCTTCCATTCCTCTTTAAGCAGCGCAAACAGTGCGTTAGGCTTGATGGGGTCTTTTGCCATTGAAATGTCGTTCTTTTGTTTAAAGTTAAAAAAAAAACAAAAACAAACCAAACCAAACTGCAAGCGGTAACACTGTCCTAACGATCACTTTAAAGTAACACCACCACCCCCAATTCCAGTTTAGCTTGAGCATTTAAAGGCCATCTGTCCCAAGCAGCCAATTATGCTGCCCCATGGGTATTCAGTTGGCACAGGTTTCACTCTATTGTCTTGTAAATACTGATACATAACCATTTGCATAAACTAGAACATTTCCCGAGATTTAAAATTAAATTTAATATGAACTATACATGCACTTATATTTTCCTTCGTATTGTATTTTATGACACACTAGGCAGGGAGGAGGAGACAAAAAGCCAACAATTTACCACAGTGAGTCACAAAACAAACTAAACCCTCAGAACTGTTAGAAGATAATTTTAAAAAAGGAAAGAAGAGTGAAGATACAAAACATACCTATCAGATCTATTAACTATTAGATCCTCAAAGGTTTTAAATTCTGGACAATATTATCTCTGATATCAAGCTTTGACTCTTAGCATTGTGTCCAAGAACAGTGCCCTTGTATTTGAAGACAGTAAAATTCAACTCTGCACCTGTGCGATAGCCAACAAACCCTCAGATTAGCCCATCTATTTTGATGACCCCAATTTCTACATTGCAAACTTGCGTCATTTCGACCAGCGAAGTGCAATTCAAGTGAAAAAAAAGGTAAATTTGTAAATACAGTGGTCTAATCATGAATCAGGGGTTATTCAAGAATTCCTATATTCTTCCACAAATCTGAATATACCTTTATTTTTACACTTTAATATTAACAGGATTCTCAGAATTGGGTTTAAGGAAAGATCCATGGTCAATTGGTTTTCTTATTCTTCCCTTCTCGAATTTCAAATAACCAAATTTTCGTCTCCCGCTCTTTGGAAGGCTTCACAGACATAGATGCAATATAATTGGAAGTATGGATAGGCAGGCCATTCTAGAAGACGTAAATTCACTTTTTCACAGCAGCACGCCCATACTCTCCAGCTGTGCTACTATATGAAGAGCATGGTGTTTTTTCTGAAGCAAATGTTAGATTAAAAAAAAATTTCCACCATTATTTGTTTCATATTTGAAAACACATAAATCAATATATATAATCACAAATACAGAATTTTGTCCTGATGAATATCAGCAAACTCCTCTGAATTTGATTAACTAACAAGAAGATTATTTGTCTAATTAAGAAAAAACTGCAAGATGTAAAGCAATTGGACCAGATATCAATAAGACTTAATCAGCATAATTCCTCTGAATTCAGAGAAGATTTAAATTGAAAGAACACCTAATCTATACCTAGGTACCTGAATGAAACACACAACTCTTTAAAAGGACGGCATCATCTCTCACAGTGTGGGAGAAAGTAAGGGAAGGAATTTTAGTAGGAACACAGTGAAATGTTAAACTCAATGACAAATTATGTGGGTGTGGAGGGAGAATGGATTCTTGCAGCCAGAAAAATAAGCTCTAAACAGAACAATTTACTTATGCTGAACTTGGATGCCACTTTTGTACTGCAGTACAATTCTGGAAGAAGTTGACTCAGTGAACGTGATGTGTCACCACTGTACCACCCTGCCACAAACACCATGAAGTCCCAGGGACTTTCCAAAATCTTCCAATCCTCAAAAACTGCCAGGGTTCTCTACTCATTTTGCAGTATAATTACACATGCCCAAAATAAGTTAAACCCATTCCTAGGAAACTCCTCTAAGTAATTATACACAGAATAAATCTGTTCTCTGAATATCAGGTTACACCAGTTACACCATTCTGAAAAATAGAGTCATTATCAGCGTATCTACCTGGGATTAAAATGATTATTTATCATTTTAGCACATGAATGTGCTTTTAAAAATGTTCATTATGAAACAATTTAGCAATACTCTGCACGTTAACGTCATCTGTAGCACTCCAATTGCAAGTTGTTTCGTTTTTACCATCAGCCTATTGATGCAGTGTCAGTGTAAATTCCAGGATCATTTTTTTTC